ATGTGCCCTGGCCGGGAATCAAACCGGCGACCTCTCACTGCTGGGACGACGCTCAACAACTGAGCCACACTGGCCAGGGCAGACGTTGTTGTCTTTGCCGGTTCCTGGTCACTGTTCCAGCTACGCAGCTGTGCCATTTTGTGGATACGTCTGTGTTCCAATAAAACTATATATGGACGCTGAAGTTTGGATTTCATGTAACTTTCACATCGTGAAACATGTCTTCTTTTGATTTTTTTTCAACCATATAAAAATGTAAAAACTACACTTAGTCATGCGTTGCACAGAGCCAAGAGGCAGTCCAGATTTTGGCCCCTAGACCATAGTTTGCCGACCCCTTTTCTAAAGGTCTTACAAATAACTTCTATAAAGTTCTGGATTTGAGGACATTTTCTTTAACAAGCAGTCATATAGCACTGAATGTGTGTCATGCACTGTGTTAAATGTCTTATAGATGTTAGCTAATTTCATCCTCAGAATAACCCCCGAGAGAAGAGTTATTGACCTAACTTTGCAAATGTGTACATTGAGGCACAGAGAGGTTAAGTAACTAGCCCGGGGTCACAGGTCGCAGATGGCAGAACCTGGGTTCGAACCCAGGTAATTTAGCCCCACAGTACCTGTTCTTACTACCAGGACATGGGGTCTCCCTTAAACATTTACAATGATTGACTTCTAGCCTAAAGGAGTTTTAGAGATTAATTCATCCCTGCTACATCTCCGTCACAGACTCATTCTTACACACCAGCTTCATAGCCTTTATGACTCAGATTTGTGCTCAGTAAAATTATGGATGACTCCTTGTGCCCATCAGCATCTCTGTGACTGCCTAGACCCCACGCCCCCAAGGGTGCTCTGTCTGCACAGGCTGGGCACTGAGCTGCTCACTTCCTGTTTCATGTGTGTTCACAGCTCCTTGAAGGCAGGGGCAGCAGCATCGAAATGCTCCATCAAGAAGAAATCTGTTCGGGCACCTCTTGCTTTCTTTGGGAACACCTGTCTGAGGTGACTCCCAGCTCAGATTTGGCCCCGCTGCTTTTCCTGCATGAAGAGGCAGCGGTTGAATCTTGAGCCACACTTGGCCTGTGATAGGAAACAGAATTTGTGGTGTCAGCTACACCATCCCTGTTGACCCAGAGATACCACCAGGGCAGTTTCCCAGGCTTTCCAAGGAAGAATGGGAAGGCGTGTGTGTGTGTGTGTGTGTCTGAGAGAGAGAGAGAGAGAGAGAGAGAGAGAACATGTCAGAAGTTAGGTAGACAGGTGCTCAGGACTTCTGGGACCCTTTGCCTAGTTACAGTCTTAGACCCTACTCGATATTTACTTTTGCGTGCCGCAGGGGTCCTGCATAGTCATTGCCAGGCACCCCCAAATCCACGTGTGCACTGCAGATCTTTTACTTGTGTATAGTTACTCTTCAAATGTATGTAGATGTCATCAAATCAAGGAAAAGCTCACCCAGCCAGTGTGGCTCAGTGGTTGAGCGTCAACTTATGAAGCTGGAGGTCACGGTTCTATTCCAGTCAGAGCACATGTCTGCATTATGGGCTCCATCCCCAGTGTGGGGCGTGCAGGAGGCAGCTGATCAATGATTCTCTCTCATCATTTGTGTTTTCTCTCTCCCTCTCCCTTCCTCTCTGAAATCAATAAACATATATTTTTTTAAAAAGAAAAACAACTATATATATAAAAAAGGGAAAAGCTCTCCTGAATTTGTGTTAAGCTATTGTAAGCACAGGTACCACCTGTTGAGAAGCCGCATCCAGTCAAGCCCCTCACATGCAGAGGAGAACACTGAGGCTTGGGGTGAGGGGAGGGATCTGCCTCCGTTGCAGCAGGGAACGTGCGTGGGAGCTGGCTCGTTTGCATGTGCCATGACCTATGCTGGGTCCCCCTGGGGCGGTCACAGAGGGAGAGATTGGCACGTATTTTGACAATTAATACTATGCTGTACTTTCTAATATTGTCTAATAGAGTGACTTATTTATTTATTTTTTTAAAAATATATTTTATTGATTTTTTACAGAGAGGAAGGGAGAGGGATAGAGAGTTAGAAACATCAATGAGCGAGAAGCATCGATCAGCTGCCTCCTGCACGCCCCCTACTGGGGATGTGCCTGCAGCCAAGGTACATGCCCTTGACCGGAATCGAATCTGGGACCCTTGAGTCCGCAGGCCGACGCTCTATCCACTGAGCCAAACCGGTTAGGGCTAGAGTGATTTATTATAATAACGTTTACCAGTATTTATAACGCTTCTCTTGAGAATCAATTAATTGATTGATTACTATATTGCTTGCCCTGTCCCCGTAAGTAAAATCCTGTATTCCAGCCTGGAAACCTGAAGCATGGTGAATTGGGCAGCTTGCTTCTGTCTGGAACAGAGCTGGCCCTAAAACTCCTGAGTTTTTTCCTCTGGTCCAGGTTCTGTTAAGCAGACTGAACTGTGAGGATTTCAGTTGTTTATATCTTAGTCCTCTATAGCATTTGCTCTCAGCTGGGTGCAACGGAACTTTTTTAATCCTCACCCGAGGATATGTTTATTTTATTTTATTTTTCACATAATAGCTATTTAACTTTTGGGCAAGTTACCTAACTTCTAAATCTTGGTTTACTGGAATTCATAGCAGAGGACTAAAATGAGAAAATATAATGGGAACTCAATAAATGATCATCTCATTTTTCTTAAGTGACATTTTAAAAAACTGAGATTATAAATGAGGGTATTTGGTGTTTTTAAAGCTTTTCACAAAAGTGTAAGAGCCCAGGACTGTAGAATTGGAAGGTCCCTTCATAGTTTTAGAACCAGTGAAGGACTCCCTCTAACACGCTTATTCTTTAAACTAAAATCCACTTCCTTCTGGGCCTGCCCTCCTTCGTGTGATAGGCCTCCTAGGGTTTGAGACGGCTGTTGGGCCCCGACTCCGAAATGATCTTTTCCAGACCAGCTCTCCTCAGCTCTTCCTCATAAGACAAATCGTTTTCCCTTCCCATCGTGGTCTCCCTTCCAGATAGAGACAGACCTGAGCTGAACACGGATGCAGCTGTAATCGGCGAGCATCTCCCCAGGCTGCTGTCTTCTTTCTCGCTGAGCTCTTTTGGGAATCAGGTCGCCCAGTCAAGCAGCACATGCAGCCTGTTCTCGTGTCTTCCCACTTTCTAGATGAACAATAAATACATCGCAGTTGAACACGGCAGATTGAACACACATTCTAACATCCATTCCCTCCTGTGATATCATTAAAATGATAATAAAGGGAGAAAGATATCGGCAAATGAGCAATTGATGGCATGTTAAAGGCAAAAAGCACGTGTGATGAACTCAGTGGGCGGAACCGAAAGGGCCTGCTGGGGAGAAACTAAGAAGAGAGAGGATTTGTAATGCGGAACCTGGAATAGCGCCAGAGCTGAAGAAACCAATACTGAAAACAGGAAGATCCGTTGAAAGTCTGTGTGAACAGCAATTAGATGCCTACAGTCCCTCCCCCATCCTCTCAGGGGGCAGGGCTTCCCGTCTTAGGTGTTGAAACGGAGGCACACGAAGCACAGAAGACGGGATGGCCTGGAGCAGAACTGACAATCAGGCCTCAGACTAAGTCCTAAGCAGTGAAGGCAGGACCACCCCTCACCAGTTGCCAGGGTATCTGCACGCAGTCACTCCCCGCACAAGACGGGTCCCCCTCTGAGAGCGCAGACGACGCCTGCTTCTAGGGTCCCCAGTGAAAATGGCCGGTCTTCATCTGTCACCCCAATGTGACACCCACGCTTGACAAGCCTAGGCCACCCACCCACCCACACACACACACACACACACTCACACTCACACTCAGCTTTCAAACAGCTTCTAAAAGTATGAGCAGTTGACCAACATCACCAGACGTTGAGAGCAAGCCTCTCGCAGAACAGACAGGCCAAAACGATGGGGGATGAAAACATTGAAGAAACCGTGGAAGCAGGGAGGAAGAGGAGACGGTTCACTCTGGGATCTGGAGCGATTAGAGAAATAGCACATTCATGAAACATGGACAGCGTATTCTTAAAAAGGAAAAGGAACCTCAGGAAACCTCTTGGAGGTTGAAAATGTGATAGCCGGTGTTTGGTTTCAGAAGCGTGTGAGTCACAGTTTGCAGGACACCCAGCTTAGAGCCTCCACCAGAGCGGCCACCGGCGAGGGGGTAACGGAGCGGGTACACGGGGGGGGGGGACAGATGGGCTCCAGCTGGAGTCCTTGGATGGAGGTGACACAGGTGAGGTGAGGCCGGGTGAGAGTCAGGAAGCTGGTGAAGGGGAGGGGATGGGTGCTGAAGAGCAGCAGTGCTTCGTGGGAATGTGGGTGCGGTGGGGCTGTGAAGGCATCCTCTGGGCAGGTCGTTGGCAAGCACTTTAGAACTCCCTGGGCTGTGGACGCTGCCCTGAGGGTTTGATACACATTAGAGTTCGCCCTGTGGCTGAGCACCTGGGCCACACACAGCTCCAGCCCAGGCTGCTGCCAGGCTCGGTCCCCTCGGAGGCACTCTGGGCTCCGAGCACGCGGTCTACCACAGGCTGGTTCGTACCCAAGGACGCCCCAGCTTTTGCACCCACTGCGCCTCCTCTGTCCTTGATCCCACATGTGCCCCTATTCACGTTTGGTCTCTTCCTGTCACTGAGTACTTCCTCTTGAGGGGCCTGCTGCTAGGGGCGTCAGGGTTCTCAGCCAGTGTCAGGGAAGTCAGGTCTTGGGGTTGGGGGCGTCGGGAGGGGTGCGGTGGAGACGCATGTGAGCCAAGCGGCCGCGTGAAGCCCTCGGGCTCGCATGTTTGAACCCTTGTGAGATGAGCTGTTGACATGTCCATAACTGAGGGCACTGAGTGGGGACTCGCGGGTCTCCATGGTGAGCCGTGGCCGTCACGAGGTGGATGCCTTCGCTGCCATGGGGGGGGCGGGGTCAGCGTGGAAGGGCGTGTTGGGTCTTTGTATTTGCCTTCCTCCCTATCTCTCTGTGTTTTACTTCGCCCGCAGATTGGGGACCACAAATTCAGCGCTCACCGAATCGTCCTGGCGGCCTCCATCCCGTACTTCCACGCGATGTTCACCAATGACATGATGGAGTGCAAGCAGGATGAGATTGTGATGCAGGGAATGGACCCCAGGTACCGCGCTCCTCCGCCAGGCCTCCCAGCTGCTTCCCTGCGCAGTCCTGTCGGTGCTGGTGCCTGGTGCCCCCCGGGGCCCACGGCAGGACAGCACCGCCCAGTGCACGCTCCGCTCTGTGCGTGGCCCTCCGCCCGTGGCCTGAGACAGGGTGAAAGTGGGGCATCTGTGTTTTGCTCTGTTAGAGTGCACATTTATTTATTTAT